GTAAGGCAAATTAGAATTTAGTGATCCCCTAAGAACCACCCTTTAGGCACAGTGGCTTCGCGTACCATGAGCTCCATTTGAGTTGAGTAAGTGTCACTGGGCTGGAAGCCCATGGTTACAGGGTTAATGTTGTTTCCATGGAAAAAAAGGCTGCCAGGTCCCAAATGAGAATCCCACACAGAGCCTTGGAGGGTAATCTGTTTAAAAGCACAGGACGGCCGGGTGTGGTGGAGCACGCCTGTAATCCCAGCACTCAGGAGGCTGAGGCAGGAGGACTGCTGAGAGTTTGAGACCAGCCTGGGCTACACAGTGAGTTCCAAGTCAGTCTCAGCTACATAGGCAGACTCTGTCTCCCAAAGAATAAAAGCACAGGATGATGGATGAATCGCTGGCATGAAGACTGGCCCCGCGACTTTGCGTTGTCCCCAGCCTTCTCCAACAGCCCTCACACAATGCGCTGCTGATGTGCCAGGTGCAGCTGCAAGGCTGTGGAAACGTGACACTAGGAAAAGGAAGGGAGGCCCAGAGAGCACCTAGCTCCAGGGACCCACCGTCTTCCAGACTTCCACCTCCCCTCAGCACTGCAGCCCGGCCAGCGGAGTCACTGGGGAGGAACTCAGGAGCTGAGGGTCCTCTGTGCTTCTGTTTCATAAAACTTTAGCAGCCCTTCAAATGAGGGCCGTGGATTGCAGCTCCCACTTGGGTTCCATGCTGGTGACTTCCAGACACGCAGGAGGACCAAAGGCGATAAAACCAATACAGAGATCATCACTAGGGTCCAAGGAGCAGGGCTTTTTGAAGACTCGGCCACAGGAACGGGAGTTACAGGCGGCTGTGCCTCGCGAGCTCTTCAGTGACCTAACCCAGTTCCCGGAAACGCTGAGGCAACCACTCTTGCTCACCTGTGCTGAGCAGTGGTTAAGCGCAGGCTCTGGAACCTGCCTCCGGGGCTCAGAGTTCAGCTTTGCAACGGCCTTTCTCGCGGTGAAATGGGGTCATGTTTCTCCCTAACTCACAGCCACTGTGCCTCCCTGCTTAGGAAATGCTTCTGCCAGAAACCCAACAAGCTCCCAGTAAATGCTATTCCATGATTTTCACCATGGAAATCACTCAGAACCGACAATGCTTCTTTGAGCTCGGACTGTATCTGTGAGGTGGCTACGTGAAGATGGTCACAAAAGTGGTGCCTTTTCGTTTTTTGTTTTGTTTTCGAACAGTGACTTAACACTCTTCAGAGTAATCATAGGCGCTTTGACTTCCTCCGAGCTGCCTCCATGGGAGACAGGGCGGGACAGTCTTTAGGGTCTCAGCTTGTGCAGGAGAAAACTGCAGGTGAAATGGTGTGAAGCTAGGTGAGGCTGGGTCCCCTGGTTAGGCAGGCCCAGGAGGGGGTCTTCTGACTTCCCTTCTCCCATGCCACTCGGTTCCTCCTTGACAACAGAACATAAATGCTCCCGTGAACTTACTTCTCATGGCCACCAAGTCCCAAAACACCAGGTCTCAGCTGTACAGATATTTTTCAGCCCTTGGCTTTTAGATGACTGTGTTGCTTCAAACTTGTCCCCCCTACAAAAAATAAAGATGCAAGTGGCATTAATAGAAAGACAAACTTTCGGGACAGATGCAAGAGACTTGGAAATCCCTCATGTCAGGGAACTGTTTCTCACCTACTAACATAACAGAGCACCTAGCATTCTAACCTTCATAAAAAAAGGGGGTCAAGAAGTGGGAAAAGCCAAGCAGGGTCTTAGGGATAGAGCAAAGTGCGTATTTTCACCAGTAGGTGGCAATAAAGTAATAAGGCAAATGTTTGAAGATAAATCACAACTATTTTAAACATGGAGACTGTATCACCAATTCTTTCCTAAGAAATGAAGGTCTCCAGAAGTTACCTAACTTGCTCAAGGTCACACCACTGGTTCATGGCTGGGCCAGATTAAATTCAATTCTCTCCATTAACCAGGATGGCAAGAGCCTGAATTTCCTTTCAACGCTGCCTGGCGCTTATCTATCACATACAGGAAAATATCACGGCTTTTGAGTGTGTGAATAATTCCAGTTGGCAGGAGAGCGTAAAGCCTGTGTGAAAGGAAACAGTTAATCACACACTCAACCTTCGAAGAGAGGGGAGAAGGCAGAAAGGGAATGAGGAAGAGGGAGAAGGGCTGCGGGCATTTTCGTGTCCTTGTGAGGCTTCCTGGTAGGTCTGTGCTGTTTCTGCACCTCTCCCAGCTATGAGTCCCCCAGAGGGACCAGGAATTATGGCATAATCTCCCCTTTACCACCACCTTTCTGCTCCATCAGCATGTTTGTGACTCGGGACATTCAACATCTCCCTGCATATGGAATCCAAGTGCCCGGTTGCTTTATTCTGCCTAAGGCACGTGGAAAGAGAAGCTCAGGAAACAAGTGGATTGCTGCTCCCCAGAGGGGCAGGATTTGTTGTGTATGGTTCCAGAGAAGAGAATCCAGACAAACAGGTGGTGCTACAATACCTAGAGTGATATGAAGCACTTACACTGAATGGGGTAGGGGTGGATGGATGGATGGATGGGTGAATCAATCGATGAAGATAGATTCAGGTTAAAATTTTCAGATCCTTACAATGAAATTTTTGTCACAGTCTCTATAATCCAAGAAGGAATAGACATAAATGCTATTTTGGTTGGATACGTGATGAATTCCTTGTCTCTGAAGGTATTAAAGCACCAACTCACCTGTGCAATGTAAAAGCAGGCTGAGGGATGCTCTGGACTAGATGAACTTTTTTAGGTCCTTTAGAATCCTGGAATCCGTGATTCTTGCTGTCTAGTGAAAGAAAGAGATGACAATAATTATGCCTTTGGCTGTAACAGTTTTAGATGGGAAAATAACGCAAATTTAAGGTTGCTTCATCCAAAATTGTGGTCCCATGTGTCTATGCTGACACCATTAGGAAACACCATTGTAGCAGCTCACTTCAGAGGCACTGCTAGGGTGGTTTAAGTAAAAAGTTTCTTTTTAATTTTGAAAATCAGGAGAAACAGATTTGTGGAAGCCAGAACCAGTCCTTTTAGACGAAGGGAATTATACAGGCCAACCTCTCAGCAGTGGCAGGATCAGGACCCACAGAAGTACAGACCTAGGAGGGTCTGATAATCCAGCTGGTGGCTGCTGAACCAAACACCTCCAAAGCAGCCATCCTTTCTAATGACTAAGACATTCAGATCCTCTTCTCTAGGGAGGCCTGGCTGTTAAGAGGAGCACAAGAGTAACAAAAGGGAGAGAGGAAAGAAAAGACAAAAAGCCAGAAAGGAGTTAGTTCCCCACCCGGAATGGATTGTATTAGACTCTCACTCCTTCTGGCAACACTTTGATGTCCTGTTTTCTCTTCCCTGTTTGCAAAACGTTACTCTGGTTGTTTGCTGTTCACGGCTGCGTTGAATGTTTGAAATTCCAACAAGTCAAGCCTCCTCCTGTACTGGGGGGAACAGCGGTGGGGGGACCCGTGGTAGGAAGGTGAGGAGGACTCGATCCCTGAGCTTGTTTTGCTCCCCTCCCTGCAACCTACAACTTTGAGGCGTTTCCCTGAGAGACTTTCTGGCTGGCAAATGCTGTTCAACACCCAAAGTGAATTTTTTTTTTAATGATGTGGGGAAGTGGGGTGAGCTAGCTGACCTTTGATGGGAAGATGAAATCATTTGCTTTGGAAACTAGCAAAAAATAAGCCGAAGGGCCAGGAGGAAACACACTGCAGCCAGAGTGAGGACAGATCCCAGCACCTTCCTCCACCCCACCGAACTCCTGCACTTCCAGGTGTGCTGCAAATGGGGGACTCACTTCCAATGGAGCTCTGCTTGGGAAACCCAGTGGTCTGACCCAGCCTGAAGGAGTTCTCCTTCATTGTCTTGATTTCCTGAAAGGGCATATTTGTGAACTCGGCCTGGGACTGACTAGAGAACGGCCCCCACCCCTGCCGGGCTATGATTCACCCGCTGCACAGACCATCACCACAGGAACACTTTTGCCTCCCCACCCTCTGGAGTTGCTTTTATCCGAACTCTTCTTCTCAGGTCCACCTTCAACCCTCTTGACTGTCCTCCACCTGTCCTCGTCATCTTTCTAGATTGCATTAATTTTCAAATAACTGAGGACCAACCTAGGCTGGGCACAGTGAAGGTTTGTGTGAACCAGACACATTTCCTGACTTCAAGATTTTCAGAATTTCACAGAGGAATAATTTACCCTGGCAAAGTTCTTCCTGCTTTCAGATGAGGAAACTAAGGCTCAACCAGAACAATTTAAAATGAGAAATCAAGTCTCCTGATTTCAAATCTCCCTGATCACCCGACTGAGTATTATCTTTAGTAGACTGTCAGTAAATATTAATTTATTCTTATTTCTCGCAGGATGGGAGTGGTGTGGAAAAGAGCTAGCTATAAGCCAAGCCCTTGAGCTAGGTGTGAATATTACTGAGTCCCCTTCCCCGAGGTAAGGCCAGATGCTTCCTGTAACTTATAAGTCACCAAAAGTTTTACTGCTCTTTCCAGGATTTGTTCCAAAAGAAGAATTAAGCACACAGGCTTTGGAGCCAGTGTCCCAGGGAGATCCGAGTAAGTTAATTGACAACTAAAAACCCCGTGGAGGTTTTGACATCTGATCTACTCATTCTCTTCTCTACCCACTCACTCCCACCCAAGGCTGTCTCTCTCCTGCCATGGATCTATTTATCTCCTCTCTTCTGTCACATTGTTCTAAGGGAAAAAGGAAGCTTTTGAAGGATTTAAACTGTGCGCATGAGGAGGAAAAGATCGGGTTTTAAAATATCACTATGGCAACGGAGTGATAAATGGGGAGGAATGAGGACAAAATGGTGGATGACAGCAGTCGACAGACCACTCAGCAGGGACCGCGGTGCCACGGAGGTGACGGTGGGCAGAGCCTGGAGTCAGGAGTGGCAGTGGAGAGAAACAGGCAGATTCGAGAGATACAGAGAAGAAGGAATCTACGGGATTGAGGTGGAGGCCTGAGAGAGGAACATCGGGGAGATCATTTATGTCTAGCATCTTCCATGAGATGTCCAGTTCAGTAGGAAGATGAGTGCTCACATCTGATGTTCAGATGGGACAGCCCAGTCAGAAATTTAGAATTGGGGGGCCAGGGATTTAGCTCAGTGGTTCCACCGCCTGCCTTGCAAGCACAAGGACCCGAGTTCAATCCCCAGTACAAAAAAAAGAAAAAGAAATTTAGAATTGGGGGGCCAGGGATTTAGCTCAGTGGTTCCACCGCCTGCCTTGCAAGCACAAGGACCCGAGTTCAATCCCCAGTACAAAAAAAAGAAAAAGAAATTTAGAATTGGGGATTCAGAGCAAGATGGCGGCTGAGGAAGACCATCTGGCAATTTTCTTCCCACAGATAGACCAAGTGAAACAGCCAAACACTACAAACCACTACAAAAAAAAAAAAAAAAAAAAAAAAAAAAAAAAAA